TAGATAAAAAATAATTTTGGACCTATAATTTTAAATTTTTAATGATTTTCAGTGATAAGAACCTAAATATTATATCGATCAAATTTATGTCTTAGATACACCTTTTTGTAATAGTACATTCATCATCTTAAAATTCTGGATACGCCTCTGATGCGGTGAGGGAATTATAACCTGTGTAGTTGTTGACGTTGTCGCACTTCGATCTCAACAACCACATGCATGTATTATGACTTCCTTTTTGACTTATGACTTGTGATGAAGTTTCGGAGGAGAATTTTTCTTTGTAACACTTCATTGAACGATTAAATTGACAAATCAAATATCTTATAACTTTTTTGTTTTAATAATAATGATAAATTTAGAATTTTAAGATGATAACTATATTATAAAGAGGCAAATCTAATATTTTTATTTGACGAATTTAATCTTTAAATTTTTTCTATTAGCTATTTTGTATAGACTTCTCATTTTGTCATATATGAGAACATATCTAGAAGTCCTCCCACTCTTGTATATTAATGGAGTTAGTTATAATATATGGAAGATGATTTCAACATGTTAGTTCTCTGACATTAAATCAAAGTGTTATAGTATTAAAGTCTTCACAACAAAATTGCAAGATAAATTTGCTTAGAAAAGTTGTACTTTTTGCTTTGTTATTTGGACCTCAGCAAAAGTTTTTTAAAAAGTACATCCTTTTCTATTTATTTACAAACCATGCATGCCATTGAAGAATATGATGGGTCTCACTTTTTTGTTTGTCATTAATGAGTCCTGGTGAATACAGTATTAAGTACTTATTACTTTTTTATTATCATAAATAAATATTCTCCTAATTTAATTTTACTTGTCAGTTATTTAATAATATTTTTTTATTTTTATCTATTAATTTTCACATATTAAGAAATATGATTTTTTAATCCATATATTGCCTTTAGCATAAATTACTTATTATTTTCAAGATCTAATACTATTAAAGATCAATTAACAAAAATAGTGTGGTAAATAGTCATATCAATTATTATTTTCTTAATTGGTGTGCTAAATTCAATTATGACAAGTAAAAACGAATAAATAAATAAAATAGTACATGTTATTACCTCTTATATTAAAAATATTTTTTTATTTCACTTGCTTATTGTGATATTTAAGAAAATTAATTAAGATATAATAAATACATTTAAAATTATATAATAATTTTATTTAAAAATAAATATATCATATAAAATTAAATGAAAAGGATAATAAATTCAACTTTTTCAATGATAAGGTTGAAAAATATCTTCCTTGCTGTATTCCTTAAATAATTAAGAGTTTAGACTTTTGTTAGGACATTAGTAGTTATTCATTTTTATTTGAGAAATAAATAAATATACATATTTATCTTAATATTGGTTGTTTTAACAAAGATATATTAACAATTTCAATTTTTTATAATATTGAACCCATTTCACGGGGCCATTTCCTCTGGTATATAAAAAAGTTGACACTTTCGATTTCAAATAATTATTGTACACAATTTTAGTGATTTTCACATACATAAATGTGTCACCCCCACACCCCCCTCCCCACCAAAAAGAAAAAAGAAAAAAACGTTGGTATCAATGGGACCAATACTATATGCTACATCGCCTATCACTCCTAATTTTGATACATATATTCGATTTAATTACATATAACTTTATGGCGATAAAAATAAAATAGGAATTTCAATCATTTGAACTTGAAGATTTTAAAAGAATGAACCAAATAAAAAAAAGGAAAAATACATAAAAACCCCCTTAAACTTGGCAGAAAAACTTATTTTAGTACTTTAACTTTACAGGTAATTCTTTATCTCCTAATTTCGTATCAAGTGAATTTAAATGCACCCAAATAAATACAAGCGCAATTGGCAAAAAATTTAAAAGAAAAAAGATAAGTAGGTTCCGTTTTTTTTTCTTTTCAGCCATCATTTTTCATTCTTCATCTTCCTCACACCCCACCACCCCACCCTTAGCTACTAGTAACCCCACACTTCTTCTTCCCCACAGCCCCCTGCCGCCTTCAACCACTCTTGCACCACCCCATTCTTCTTACTCGAAACACCCCCCTCCCCCTCTCTTTGTCTTTCTTCAAAACCCCTCACCCCATTTCTCCTTCTTCGAATCCCACACCCCCACCCTCTTTCTCCTACTCCAAACCTCCCCTCTTTCAACCGTCATCTTTCTTGTCTTTTTCTCCTTCATCGTTGAACCCCCACCATTTTTTTCTTTATTTCTGATCTTTCACTCATATTAATTTTCGATTTTAAGAAGAGGGTCTTCTTTTTTTCAAGATATGAATCTAAATTGATATCACTAATTTTGAAAATTGAAAAGAGAAGATTGTTGGTGTTGAAAATTGTTGCTTCAAAATCACTATTTAAGATCGTGTTTGTATTAATGGTGATGAACTTGAATTTTTTTTAATGTAAGATTAATCCTCATTTTTTCCTATTTTTTTTCTTTCTAAAATTGTTAATAAATAAAAAGAAATAAAAGAAGAACTAAAATAAGTTTCAAGGTGGCACTGGCGTGGCAATGTTGTGGCGTTGATGTGTCGATGACATGGCGCGTGTGAAATGCACTTGCCACTTGAGACTGATATTATAAACTTAAGGTGATATTAAATTCATTTCAAATGAGATTAGGGGGACAAATAATTACCCGTAAAGTTAAAGTGCTAAAGTAATTTATCCTGCCAAGTTTAGGATTTTTTATTTTTTTTTATGTATTTTCTCTTTAAAATTCCAAACTCAATTTTAGAAGAAGAAAATAATTAATAACAAGTTATTTGTGGAATTTGAACTTTCGATTTAAATCGTAAAGAGGTGTACATTATTGCACTAGAGGACACTTTGAAATTTAGTGCGCGCGCATATATATATATATATATTTATTTTTTATTTTATTTTATTTTTATTTTTATTTTTTATATTTTTGAAGTAATCTTATAAAAATATGAGATTACTATTCATAATAGTGAGCGGAGTATGGATGCTTGTAAACTGATACGCCTCTTTTAATAACATAACTAATTTGTGTCCATCTTAATTCAATATGCATGTAAGTCAAATCTTGCTATAACAGTCAATCATTAGGATAATAAAGACATGATTTTCTCAATAGTTGATTTTTCACATTATATTTTACTTCTTTATTATAATAACTAGGGATGTACATGATCAGGTTGGATTGGATTTTTCAAATATCAAACCAAATTATTATTGTCGAATTTTAAAATCTATAAACCAAATCAAACTAATAAAACTTAGATTTTTCAACTTCTGGTTTTTGGATTAGTTTTTGGGTTTTTCGATAAAGTATTCATACAAACATATAATTAACTTGTACTTTAACTATATCTTTAGTCCTACCAAAATACAATCATCTAAGACATTTTTTAAGAAAATAATAAAAAATATGAGATGAGTGATGACACAAAAAAATTAACAGAAAATGATTATGAAATCACATAAACAAATATTGCAAATTAATAGGTCATAAAAAAATTATCATAATTCAAAAGTACTAAATCATGCAAAAATAAATCTAATAAATAGGAGTTACAAGGCTAAACATTGAAGAAAAACTAAAACTAGGTTACGTATTTTAATTATCTAAACCAGTGTAAAATTAAAGAACAAATATTCAATATTATTGTCATTCTTAGTTGATTTTTTCTTTGTTAGTATTAGTATTGATTTGAGCTTTATTAGAGTTACTATATCTATGGATGACATATTTGATTTTTTTGTTAGCTTGAATTGAGCTTTATTTATCTATGGATTATAATCTTTATTGGACTATTCAAAATTTAAGTCTCAAACATGAAGTAATATGTCAAGAGATAAAAACTATGAAAATATATGAAGTATTTATAAATTATATCAAAGTAAATACTTTTATGTACAAAAGGGACGGTTGACTAAGCAAATCTATAAATGTTAATAATAAACGTGTTCAAGTGAATTGAAGCGACATTTTAGTCCCTACCTATGTAGCTTGGTGAACCTCACACGGTCTCACTTTTAACGAAGATTATGATGGAATGATAAATACTTATTTATTTTTTAATTAAAGATTTTATACTCAAATTTTGAAAATCTAATAAGTACAAAATACAGCGGTACGAATTTAAATTAATTAAGTATACACAAAATATTTATTTAATTTTAGAGGAAGAAAAGAGGTGACTGAAATTATACCGTCCAACTTTAGCTACCCCTAATGAAAATTTAGCTTCTATTTAGGTAATTATCATTCCATAATTAGTAGGTTGGATGGAACAGTACTTAATCTATTAATTTTGTTAGATTAAATAAAATCAAATCTACGTAACTGAATCATGAACATGGTGCAATATAATACATACTACGAGTTTTATAATCGGCACACCATTATTAATTAGTTTTCCCGTTGTTATAATTATAAAGGTTTTGCAAGTCAACAAATAATTTTAACTAAGTATATAATTAGTTCAAAATTATAAATTTTATATTTTAAGGATATTTACTTTTTTTTGTGAAAATATTCGTAGTGATGATATATATATATATATAAACTTAGAGCCCATTTGAGTTGGTTGAATTTAAGTAGTTTTTAATTTTCAACTGCTGAAAAATACATTTTAAGAGTTCTAAAATTTATAAAAGATAAAAAAAAAACTAAAATAATTAATCAAAGCCAAACAACTTAATTTTAAGCCAAAAATAATAGGTTTAGATAGCATGAATTTTGCTAAAAAGACTTTAATAAAAGTCTTTTTGAATTGACTTACTTTAAGTGTTTTTAAGTTAAAATAGTTTTTCAGTATTTACTCTGAAATAAAAGAAATAGTAATACTCCGACATTTTTCATATAGATTCATGATATTACAATTCATTGAAAGAAAATCCCAGCATTTTACATAATATTAATAACTAGAAATAAACAAATAAATAAAAAGCTTACATTAATCATACTAGAGACATAAGAGGCATCCTCAAGATCATACCTTCATGTCTTCACATGACCAAATTTAAAGATAAATAAATTACTTTTTAGGTTCAAAATCCATCCAATTACTTTCACTAGGTGGTCCAGTACTATAACTTGAAGAATTCCCAAAATCCATTGTAAATCTTAGAAAATCTTCTTCTTGATTATGATAATAACTTGCTTGTTGTTGTTGTTGTTGTTGTTGTAATTCCAACGACGTATTTGGTGTAACAAAGTTACCTCCTGATAATGATGATGATTGTTGATGATGATGATGATATAAATTTGATTGATCTGAAACCCCAAAATTCATCATATGATCAATATTATTGTTGCTTCCATCGCGAAGTAATTGTGCATAGTGATGAACATTAGGGAAATGTTGTTGATACAAATTAGGCTGAGTGACCATCTGAGGAATATTATTATTATTATTATTAAACGAGTAGTGTTGTTGTTGTTGTTGATGATCCACTAATTGTTGTTGTTGATGAGTTGTAGTAAGATATTGAGTATTTCCTGATTGAACTCTTTCAGGAAAATTGAGTTTAGCTTTGTTGCCTTTGAATCTAAGTGCCGCTTCATCATAAGCAAGTGCCGCGGCTTCAGCAGTATCAAATGTCCCTAGCCATACTCGTGCAGCCTTCTTTGGATCGCGTATTTCAGCAGCCCATTTTCCCCATGGTCTTTGTCGCACTCCTCTATAATGTCGTTTTCTTTGTTGGTTCCCTTCATACACACATAGCACAATTCAATTTAATGTTTATACACTGACAATATATATATATATAAAGACGGTAATTATTATTCATATAAGAGAAGGTTGACAATATAATTTTGTCAAAAAGTTAAAGAAATTAAATTAAACCATGTAGTTGTTAAAAATAATACCATCCATGTGTGAAATATGTACTCTTGTGTACTAGAAAATCAAGTTGCGCACGCACAATAGGAATTAATATAGGGTAGTTAAAGAATTAATATAAATGAGTTTTTCCTTTTTCTTATTTTTTTTGCTTTTGCTTTTGAAGAAATTACATGGAAAAAGTAGTTGAAGAAAAACTTAAGTTTAATTTTAGCTAGGAAGATAGATATACTTAGAGAAGAATGAAATATATATATATATATATCTTTTATATAGTCACACAAAAATGTACGACTTTAGTAAGCATAAGATGTTTACCACATAATAAACTATAGCTAATTGATCCCTTTATTTTATTAGTGAAGATCGATTTTAACAAAGATATATCTTTTATTGGTTGAAGAAAAATATACAAGTTTGTGTCCAACTAGATATGTACCTTGTTCTTGAATTTGATTTGTTGTTGATTGAGGTAGGGTTAATGGATTAATTCCATGCACGGACGATGACGAAGAGATATTCATAGTATTATTACTATTATTTGTGTTGCCAATAACTTGAGAGAGAACAGAAACCATAGCAGACATGTCATGTTGAGATCGAGCTGAATAAATAGGGAAAATAGATTCATTAATATCCTCTTTCTCCTCCGATTCATTGGATGAAAAGGGCCTCTTCCCATACCTTCGATCCACGATTGCTACTTTTGTAATGATCTTTTGATGGATCAGTACGTGAACTTCAGATATCAGATGATTAAACCGATGAAGAAAGAGCAAAATGTTGAAGTATGGATTTGTGGAAGAAGAGAATAGAGGAAGGAATTGTTGCTTTGCTAGGGTTTACTACTATGTAGTAACTATATATACTTGTGAAATGTGAACTGACACTTATCATGCTATGTGTGGAAAGAATATGTGGCTCATGCCTTTCGGTTTCGGTGGCTTTTTTTACTATTTATGGATGGGAAAACAATTACACACTTTCTTTTTGGATTGTTACTTTCTTCTTTTATATTCTTCTGTCTCAATTTACGTGGCGCGTATTTTTTTTAAAATTTTTTCCAAAAAATAAACTATATATATTTATGGATGGGAAAACAATTACACACTTTTTTTTTTTGGATTGTTACTTTCTTCTTTTATATTCTTCTGTCTCAATTTACGTGGCGCGTATTTTATTTAAATTTTTAGATCTTATATATATATATATATATAATTTTGTTTAATGTAAAATCCTTGTTATATTCTTAATGATATACTCCCTCTATTCCATACTATAAGTGACTTTATAATTGGGTGTTTTTCATTGTTCAAAATAATTGAAGTATTCAAAGTTCAAGATAAATGTTTGAAAATTTTCTCTATTTGCCCTTTCTTTTAGTGAAGTTTTATATTTTCAAGATGATAGTTAAATTACACTACTTACAAAGTTATATTTACGATTTCACAAAAGGCAATAGTGAAAAATATGTTTTACATTATGCCTTGGAATGTTTTTCTTAATAATTGTGCATTGCCTCACAAGTTCACTTAATATGGAATAGAGGAAGTATAATTTATCGTCTATATAAGAGAATCAATGTTTTAATTGACTCATTTTAAGTGTTTTAAGTCAAAATGATTTGTAGCGTTTGAGTAAATTAAAAAAAAAGTGCTTATAAGTACTAAATTTTAGGTTAAAATGATAAAATTAAGTCAAAAGTCCATCCAAACATGCTCGACTTATAAGGCAAAAGTTATAAATTAAAAATCTTAACTTATGACTTATATCTATCATTTTAACTTAATATTAAATACCTATAAACACTTTTAAATTTATCCGAACACTAAAAAATCTTAAAAATTATTTTACCTTAAAAACATATCTAAAATAAGCTTATCCAAAAAAATATAAATATACTAAAAGAGAGTATATCATAGAATAAAGTGCTTAATTTTTTCAAACATAAGCAATCATACCAAAAAAAATTCAAACATATTAAACCACAAATTCAAACTTTTTTTTTTAAAAAAGAAACTTTATAGCTAATCGAACAATGCAATAACAGGCAAAAAAGAATATATAATCACAATTCACAATATTACAATGTAAATGTCAACAGTCAAATGAAATACTTATATATAATTGACGGAAGAAAAAGGAAAATAATAAATCAAATGAAGATATTGGAGTTTCAGTTTTCATACTTTGACTGTAATTAATTAATCATGACAAAAGAAGTCACCACGTTTTATATTTTCAATAATTCAAATGTATTCCATTTCTATATCTAAATAAATATATAATACGTGTCCACATGACACCTACTTCTTGAAGTTTTTATTCAACTAGACTAATCCGGGCTCAATATATATTACATTCTTTATTTTAATTTAGGAAAAATTATCTAAATACATAACTTATTTTATCATATTTTTCAAAATTCCTATTATTGAAGAAATTACAAAAATTCTTACTCTCTCCTATTCTAGGATATATCACTTTACGCAATGTATTTATCGGATATATCACTTTATACGATGTATATGTCAGATACATCACTTTACGCGATGTATCGGTCGGACACATCACTTTACGCGATGTATCCAAAACCGAGACCCGATGTATCGGGACGTTGAGGGATGTATCTGACACCGAGGCGCGATGTATCGAGACCTTTTGGAATGTATCCGAATTTCACCAAATTTAAGAAATTTATGTAATTTGAAAAATAATAGGGATATAATGTAATTAGTTGTTAACACTGAGATTTGTGTAAAATTCCCTAATTTATGTGAAACAGATAGAATTAGGAGAGTCAACTAAATTTTCAAATATTTTTGTTATTAATTATTTTTATAATATTTTTAATTTGTTTTTCAAATAATATTTGTGGCACATGTGATATTTTAAGACTTGAGAAATTTTTAATATATATATATTTTAAATATTTAAAGTTGTTAATTATTGTGATTTATGTGGTACAAGTGAAATTTTCATCATTATTATTTATGATACTCTTAGTTAACGTAATTTTTAAATAATATATGTTAGCCCATTTATTTCATTTATGTGGCAGAAATAAAATTTTGAAAGTCAATCGAACTTGAACTTTTAATATATTTTTATATATACTAAAAAGGAAAATAAATAAAAGAAATACGAAATATTGCAATTTGTAGTACTAAAATAAGAAAAAAAAATACTAAATATAAAAAAGAAGAAATTTGAGGAGAGAAGCTCCCCTCTTCTAATATATAGTAAAGTAATAGTAGTACATGAGAAATTAATTAATGAGTAGAAAAAAAGAGCGGGAAGTGATGGATTAATTAGCATATCTCTTAAAAAAAAATTATCTTCCCATGATTAATGAATTATTAATAAAAATAAAATCATCACGTGATTACTTACAAGAATGTAACGCGATGTTTATCTATATTTTGAAATTTTGGAAAGAACTATTGCAAATTAAATTATATATATATAAAAACTTTCTTCTTTATATATGGGTAAAAAGGTATCGATTAATTAATTTATATATATATATATATATTTGTTTTTATTTTATTTTAAGCCACCTTCACTGGTAGGGAATTAGGCAGACCCCACCTCGTATAATTATTAATTAGAATCCAATAGCAAAATACATGAGGGAGAGGTATGTGGTGGAGAAAAGCAAACAAACCTCATGTGTAAAAGAAAAGAAAAAAAGGATTTAATTAGTCGCATTGGTAGTGTAAAGAATTTTTATGTTATATTAATAATTGATTATTTACTGCATTTTTCAAGTTACTAAATTAAAACAAGTAGCATGTACTTGTTATTGTAGGTTATGTTAGTGTGATGGTATAAAAACTATATAGATTAGAGAGAATTCCACCTTTTATATAAATTTCAACTCCTTTCTTGCATCCCCATGGTCAAATGGTGGAAGAGGACCTAACCTCTACTTTTTCATTTCATGTACTATTTTTTAAAAAGATACAAAAAAAAAACGATATTTTTTTCATTCTTCAATTGGATGAGTGTAACTTATCGATCAAACTACGTGTTGTATTTATAATTAGAATGAAGACATATAGACTTTCATGCAAATGACAAAACGATAAAACATTGCTTATTATTTATAGTGCACCATTTCATTTTTTCTTTTGGGGTAATTAATCCTCTCCTATAAGAATCTTGAGAAGAAAAATTGATTATTTTTATAGGTAGTAGATAACAATAACAACCACTTTGAATTCAAATGGCGTATTTCGTTTAACATATATACAACTCCACCTTTACATATATATGAAAAATAACACTTAAACCCCAAAAGGGAAAACAATTTACAAGCAGCTACCCCGTACTCTCATACCCCCTGTTTTTAACAACTAATGCGCATTTACAGCTTGATACCATCAAAATATAGATACACTCTAATGGTATCAAAGAGGAAGACCCAATGCTTTATTGAAAACGCTATTCACTTACGCCTTGATATCATTAGAGTATGGTGTCAAGGAGGAACATACAATGTTTCAGTGAAAAGATTGTTCAATTACTGCTTGATACCATCAGAGTATCAATACCCTAATGATAAACCCATATACATGTGCTACAGGCTCCATGTAAGTCAATTAGAGACTACATGACAACTCTACTCTTCTCTTTGCCAATTCTCGATTCTACTTTGACAAACTGGTTTTTCTATAGTAATCCTAAAGTGCAATCAAATATGTTTGAACTGATGAGCAGAACAAAATAGTCTTTCCTTCGCTCGCATTGTACAGAAGAAGAAAAGAAAATAGGGAGCTTCCCTCAAGCCCTGAAAGCATAATTGACTACAAAAACCTCCCTCAGTTCAGAAGCAACTGAAGAAAGAACAGTTTATGATTGCGAAAATGGATTCTTAAAACAGGACTCTTACGAAATATTAGCACAAATGTGATGTGTAGGCCAAGGACAGAACAGTAGCTATGTGAAAGCCACTGTCTCTAATCCATTGCTAGAACATCAGACTTTGACACAGGAAATGTTGCACTAAATACAACGAAGTTCAAAACTTTGGAGTCTATTAAAGACATTCCTATGTGCTAAGAGAGTTGAATGTCTCCAAGTTTTCATCATAGATAACCTTTACATGGAGTGGATTCTGAAGGCTTCAATAGCCTCTAGATCCAATCAAACTCGAAAACTGTTTCAGCTACCTGGACGCAGAATTATGCCAAGCGCAAAGCTGATACTCAACAGCATTTCCCTTCTGGTTTCCTCTCATAATCATCTTTCAGTACCACACACCAGGCCCATGAGTTTCTTTTGGTGTAAGGCATCGAGACATACGCTTCTACGAGACAAAATTCCCCAGACATATGGGGAAAATGACTGGGAATAGTAATACCTCTCTCAGCAACTCAAATGATTTTGTGCAACCCAATGTTCAAATCAGAAGATATAGAAATGAGGAGCGGGACCGCATGATGCCAAATAGCTTTGAAGACTCGCTTTTGGTGGGCTTTAATGGACTGAGAAGGTTTGTGTGAATTGTACCTTATGTCAAAAATGTGGATGACTGGATCAACTGACCCAGATGTTATGTACAAGCCATCAGGTGACCAAGCCTGGTTTATGAGAGCCGACTGTGAGTCACTACTTTCTTGCTTCCACCCAAAGGCCTGAACCTCTGTCTGCCTCAATCTAAAATCAAATAAGCGAAGCTGCCTCTCTATAGTCCTGCATTATAAACATGCAGTCAGAGAATTAGATTAAGCAAAATGTGACTAAGCAAGTATATTCCCTCAAAAGATACATTTGTGCTTAAATACTACCTAGTGCAAGATGATGTTTCAAAGTGTATTAATATCACAAGCAGAACTAATCAAGATTGCAAGATTAAAGAAGCTTGGTACTTGTATTTTAAAAATATAAAGGAAAAAAAATCATCACAATACAAGAATGAACCTTGAGAACCTGCACTAATGTCACCATGTTTTCTCCATATAAGGCCATAATCCCCCAGCTTTTCGGAGGTTTCCTAGCATTCCTAAAGCAACCTGGGATGATCACGGTTTTGATTAATTCGTCCTGCTACTCTTGACTAAAGTATGGATCCTTATTAAATGCCAGAATTCACAGTACTAATAAATGCCTCTGCACCAGTAGGTCTAAGATAAAAGGATTGTCTAATAGATTGAAGCTTCCAACATAAAGCATTATATCTTCCTTCCCCTCCATCTTAATTACACCAATTTCTCCTCAGACCACTTGCATTTCAGAAGAATCTGGCTCTTGATTTAGTTCATAGCATCGCATTGTTTCCTTGCTTTGCATAGAATCCATTTAAATGATGGTTTGGACTTTTGATCCTGCTTCAACTGAAAGATCGCAACTCAGCCATTAACATGATAGAACCATCCACATATATTACTATGACCACCCTCATTCTACTAACTGATCCCTTCAACCCCAAAGGTTGAAGATCTTATCACTGTCAAGGCTACTACATCATTAGTTTTTTTTCTGGATTGGTTCTTACTATTCATTACAATTTGGGGAAGTGACAAAAAACAAATAAGGAAAACAGTATTGCTGTGCAGTTTGGTTCTGCCGTAGAAAACTTCAAACGTTTAAATATGATCATGTTCATTCCTGTGACTACATCAAAACCAGAAGCATGTCTTAATTCTATGCTTAATAGAATAGCTTTGCAGCAAAAAGAACTCCTGGTTCTTATATCCATTTCACGTCTCAGCATTGGCATTGGATGGAAAATTTCCCCTCAATGATTCAGAAATATAAAACTTTTGGCATTAGAACTTATGTTCCTTCAACAATTTAGGGCACACTGCAGTGAGGATCTCAAATTACACATTTATGCAATGACTCAAAACAACCAAATACAGTACAACAACTACTACTACTGTTATACCTCAATCCCAAGCAAATTGGGGTCAGCACTCAAAACAACCAAATACACTACAGTATTAGATACTCCTATAAATTATAACCAAATCATTACTGGTCACAAGTGCTATATCTTTTTAAAATACTTAAGGACCAATTTACTAGAGTTTACAAGAGATTCTGGGGACGTCTTTTGATACTGTATATCTCACGAAAACAAATATTTTTGCCGAGTGCACATTATTCTAAATAAAAGTAATTGCAAGAAAAGTGGAACTTTTGTACGAGGAAGGACTGGTAACATCGCTAGGAGTCAGTATGTAAAAAATGCACCTAAAGATCATAGAAAAGACTGCATCAGAAACTTTACCCTGTCTGAACCATAAAGAGATTGAAGTCGCATGGATTAGGTAGAACACTCATGCATTTATTTTCTATTTGATGCTTGTATTCTGCTCTTTGAGCTAGCAAATCAAATCCAATGATCCGCTTGTCAGCTCCAGCAGACAGCACAACTTTCTTATGCTGTAAACCGGCAACTCCCATCACTGCAGAAGAATGCAAACTTCTATGCAATGCTTTAGGTTTCCATGAATTTTCTCCATCTTTATTGCTCCACATGATAGCTGCATGATCACTACCACCAGTAACAAACTGGATATCTTCCCATGGCATGAAGATTATATTGTTGATTATCCCTTTAACATGAGGCTTCTCCTCCAAGAAACTTACACGCATCTTCTGCTGATAAAAAGCACATGAGAACATAACAGGTATAAAATCAAAGTAATATTTGATGCGATAGGATGCCTGATGTGCTTTGAATGCTACATACCTGAGGTTGAAATACTACATACCTAAGCATCAACAACTTCAAAAGCTAGACAGAGATTTTTTTTAATGAGAGATTGATTTTTAGAGTGGAGACGACAGGAAAACAATGCAATTGTAGCTAAAAGACCTTAGTTTAGTTTAGTCAGGGGAACTTATGAGTACGAGGGTTATCTGAAGCCTCTAACATGATGATTATCTGAAGAAAAGGAAAAAGGAAAACATCATATTGAGCCTGTTAATCATCATAAAAGGTACTTCCATGTGTACGGAATATTATGGACAAGAACATAATAAGAGAACGAACTAACAATATAAGTACTTTCATCCTCTTTAATGAACAAGTAAAAATATAAGTATTTCAATCCTCTTTTACGGCTCAAATGAAAAACAATACAAGTACTTTAATTTATCAGATTATAGACCATTTATTCAAGGAATCAGAGGACTTCCTCATCCTATCCTACAGCTTTCCATCAGAAAGACCTGTGATCTGGGCTCATATGTCCAATAAACCACTACCACAAACCTTGCATAACTTACTATCCCAAAGTTAATAAAGTGAAAGTGGATTAATATATTGTTCTTTTTGACAAGAGAACAATATATTAATCCACTTTCACTTTATTAACTTTGGGATAGTAAGTTATGCAAGGTTTGTGGTAGTGGTTTATTGGACATATGAGCCCAGATCACAGGTCTTTCTGATGGAAAGCTGTAGGATAGGATGAGGATACTGTTCTGTCTATATCAGTTTCAAAAATAAAAAATAATATATATATATATATATATATATATATATATATACATACTGCTCATACTGCTCTGTCTATATGAAATCAATCATAATGCAACTCAATCCAGAGAACTTAGCACGCGCACATGTATATATGCTGTTTCATTCAAGTAGGTTTTACAGTCCTATGAGCTTTGGCATATAATCTTGGGGGAGTTAATCTCAGACTTGAGCCTTTACCTCTTTTCCTTTGTTAAGATTCAAGATTGAAATTTGAGAATCCCCGCCATCAGCACTATAAACTGAAAAGAGACTATCGCCTTCCGGATGCCAGGCTACATCTTCTGGCCATCTCCTATGCTTGGACGAAAGGCAATCAGTGGAACTAAGAAGATTAGCAGTTGACCTGATTATCCAAAAATAAATAAATTAGGTAACTCAAAGTCATCAGAACACAAACATATGGTAAAACAATAAAATTAGCATTTAAAAGTTATTGTTGCCTGAAGTAGGATTGCCTTCCAAAATAAAATCTCATAAAGGAAAGATATACTGATATGACTAAAAAAATTAACTTTCGAAGTTCTAACATACCCTCTGCCATGTACCTGCCATAAGTTGACAAGCCCGTCCAACGCACTGCATATTCAAGGATAACCTAAATTAGCATTCAGGATAAAATAAAGCTATATGGAAAACCGAAAACCCACTTGCATTCTATGTCAGATGCTCAAAAATGCCAAGGAAAGAGAAAAAAATACAACTAAACTGGGCCTTAGTCAAGAGAAAGTGAAGTGCAGTGGTTATTACGTCAAGGAAAAGAAATCAGCTAGTCTTAACAAATTAAAAGATACTATCAGCAGGAAAGTCAGACTGCAATTGAGGAATCAAATAATAGCTTCGTGATGAACACTTGAGATTGACAGCAGGATCTAAAGGATGTACTGGAAAAGTGGAAGCTCTACTAGGATAAAGCTGCAATCATGAATCTACATTATATTTGCTTTCCTAAAAATGCTATGTCAAGGAATGCAATTAAGCTCAAGCACAATTCCCCATAGAGAGGTGGGAGAAGGAAACGGACAAGCTTTTTCACTAAGTGTGTCCATTGCCAAATCAGTGACAACTCCAGAAGAAAGGAATGAAATGCATCCATAGTCAAATTGTCATTTAGCATGAGTGCATGACCTTTACATACTCTTAAGCACTGTGTAAGTCCTGATAAAAAATTACCTGCTTGCAAAAAGTTGATCATTTGTAGGACATGAAATAATTGTTCTCAGCTTTCTCTTGTGTTGACTAGATATGACACAGGACGTCTGGCAGCGTACCATGCTTGCTGAAGAGTAACTACCTATCAATGGTATCAGCTCTCTATGCTCTTTCTGCTCTGTATTTAGAAAGCATACATGATAAATATACGCGTCAGTTGGTAACTTTCATATCAAAATGGCTTTCGCCTTACATGCTACTACCAGTGATCAATAATAACTACCAGAATATTTCATGATAGAACTACAACATTACCAAACTTCCTTTTTGTTCCTTTAGGCTGAAGTTCCGAAGCTTCCTTCTCCGACATTCTGTGACTTTTATCTGCTTTTAACTTTGTCATACTAGTGACATGAGGAAATCCTGATCCACCGGCCTGAGAATCAGAAGCACTTGAGATTTTAGGACCAGATTCTATAATCTTCAAAGGTTGAGATACTCTTGGTTTCACATCGGGAATGACAAGTGGTGGTTTTCCCTGGGGAACACTGCGAGAACTATTATCATTTCTCTG